CACTTCTTTTGGAGTTTGTATCCTTGAACAATTTTAGTTATTTTCATACATCAATGAAATACTTGTTTCGGACCAAAAAAAAAAGAGAGAGAGAGAATTTGAATTCTTGAACATTATTGTTCCTTTTCATTATTTCAATGAGAAATTCATATCATGTTCAAAAAAAATATATATATATATATATATATATATTTACCTGGGAAAGCATTGTTCCATCAAGAATTTCAGCAAGTCTATAAACTTGATAGTTAGGTCCCAAAGCTTCAGCTTTAATCGATTGCCATAGCATCACAAGGGCTTCAGCTTCATCAACAGACATCAGCTTCTGGTATGTAGCTGTAACCGGAGATGACAGACTAATATCAGTATGTTGGACTTGCATATCACAAGTGCCTGATAAGTTCCTGCCCTTCCTCATTAACCTTGACAAAAGCCGTTTGAGACTACTGAGACTTGTACTGCTCTTCATATCTGCAGGTGCTATAACATTATCCACAGACAAATCCACATTGCTTAAAAGAGTGCTCGAATTCAGGCTTGCTTTATGTGGAGTCCATGTAGAAGCAAATTTCATATTTATCATTGTGCTCGTTAGCTTGAAGCAAGCAAAACTAATACATCCAACTACTACAAGAGCTCTCACGTTCTTGACGAAACTGTACCTAGGCAACCATAATTCTGAAATTTTCCATTTGTTTGTGCGAAGGTCCCTTTTCAATTGAACAGATGATGAGTTTGGATCACTCTTTTTTTTTTCTGTTCCTAATTGACTTGGCAGATTAGTAGGAGTTAACCGTCTAACGATATTCCCAAGATTCTGGGAAGAATTCAAATAAGGAAAAGAGTCCTCAATATCCCTCCACTCTGATACAGAGGAAGAGGATATGGGCCTGTTATTCGTGTGAACTATGCTCGGTTGAGAATGGTTAATTTTCTTCTTTGCAACCGTTTTCTTCTCACCATGGAAAAAACTAACCTGCACAAATATAGAAAGATGAAGTTGCTACAACTAAGTTCATTGTGTTTTCTGATTTAGAAAAGTATTCTCAAATTTGATCCATCGGTATGAATCTCACCAGAGTCAGAGAGCAATCCTGCGTATCTTTAAAGCCACCAAGTACAGCATCCTTTAACCATATTTCCTGCTCAAGTACAACAGGCTTTCAGATATAAAAATAATATAGGCATGAACAAAATAGACAAAATTTTAAATAAATAAGTATATGAAATCCTTGGAGCTACATATATTATATTTTCATATTCATATTCCTGCAAATATTTTTTTTTTTCCTTTTTTTGAACAGCACTCCTTTGGTTGATGAAAAGAAACCAAAAATGTTCGAGGATACAATCTCCCGATGGGAGAGAAAAAATGTAAAATCAGAAACTATCTTGGAGATATAAAGCCTTCCCTATTAAAACAAATGTCTTTAAACGAATAATGCTCAAACAAAGATAATAAAGAAGAATAATGGGAAGAGTAGAGACCAAGAAGATATCCAAAAGTATGTATGAGATTTGAACTAAGGGAACAAACTGAAGTAAATAAACGATATATCAGAACAGCTGAACTGTAGCACTTCTGTTTCCAATACAAACGTATAAACAATACTGTAGAGAGAAAGGTTGGAGAGAAGTAATTCCATTATTATTCACAGAATAATAAGTCAGAAGCGGAGACGCAACTTCTGTTCTCAAATCCGGTGTCCTTTTACCAGTTTGGCAGATATCCAAGTTTTTTGCAGGGTTTTACGAGCTCGAAAATGGTGGTGAGGCTTTGATTGTCGAGGTTTGGCTGCAAGAACAAACCATTTTACTGGGTAATGCCTGCCAATAGCCAATCTCCCAAAGACGGCAAGCATCTCAAGGTTCTAGGCTACTATAATCCACTGCCAGGGTCAAGATGGCGGTAAATAAATGGGTCTTAATTTTGAAAGGGTGAAGTATTGGACTACTACCCCAAATAAGCAAAACGTTCCTCAAAACAAAAACATGGCATATCCAGATAGCCCTATCAAATCAATCAAAATATCTTTCAAATAAAATGCAAAACAAATACT